CGAGGATGTTACAGGCGTGCCGTCCAGAGAAACGGCCTGTACCTGCTTTGGACTCAATTTCAAGAGATGAGGGCCCTCTAAGCCCAGTCTTGGACCCCGACCAAGACCACCAGTATTAGACCCTCAGCATGTCCGTGGGCTTGGATGCTTCATATACAAAACCTTGGCTCATTCCATTATAGCAAAATTTAATGAGATTAATAATGACATTAGGAATAAAACAATGAAGACTTAATAGGAAAAGTAACACGAGCCAGGTACTAATTTATAAAAATGTGCTTATTATTTTTGTCTGGTAGACGTTAATATTTGTTACTAAACTCTGTTCTCAGAAAAAGGTATCTGAATGAGAAAAGGAAGAATTTTTAAAGCTGAAAAGTTCATTAAGATCCTATCGCATCGAGACAAAGGCCGAGGGAACAAACAGACGTGAGAGAACAGGGCTGTGTGCAAGTCAGGTTCTCGGGAGGAGCGTCGATCTGAACGCTTTCTGCGGGTTGTGCCATGACTGAGGTGGTCTTCGCTCCGAAGGCGAGCGAGGCGCAGACGGATGTTTGAGTTGCAGGCGCCCCTGCAGGTGAAGGACTGGCTGCGTTTCTGTCCCGCCCTCTCCTGCCAGGCCAGGCTCTCCTGACCAGTGGCCCTTCTTGGTGGCCGCGGTTTCCTCCTCTGCATCCTTCTCCTGCAAGATTCTTGACCCAGTCTGTGTGTTTATAATCCCCCTTAATCCACACCGACTTCAGGTAAATATCCAGTCAGTTATTCTCCTTCTCGGACGTACACCTAAACCCTCCCTCTGTCTTCCAGCACTGTGCTGAACAGCACTGTGCTCATCGCATTGTCTGAGCGTCCCGCTGTAAGCCAGGCCCTGCAGGGATTCCATCCCACCCTGTTTCACAGGCGCCCTGTGACTGCGGCCCCGCTTCACACAGGAGGAGCCTGGCCCAGACAGGCTGTTGTCGGCCAGGGTGGCTGCCGGGCAGAGCTGAGCGGTAACCCCGGCCTGACGCCAAGCCACGCCTCCTGCCACAGCCCAGAGCCCGGAAGCTTCCCCGGTGAGCCCGCGTCTCACGCTGCTTATGGACCCCAAACAGCTCAAAGGACCAGTCCGTAGACTAGGGCCAGCAGGTCCTTGAATCGAGGGAAAGGAGGCCAGCACTGAAGGTTGAAGTTCAGTCAGTATGAAAAATAAGCACCACTAACCTTTCTGCCTTGAAAACCTCAGTGAATTTATCTTTGGAAACCCGTAGACGACTCCTTCTGTGTCTTCCTCCTCGAATTAGATATTTTTCTTGGACATTTTAGTAAATCAGGTAAATACAGGGGATTGCTGAAATCATACCTCATTAACACTGTGTTCTGTTAGCAAGTCTCGAGACGGGTTAAGCGTAGAGGTGATTTAGCCCACGGTGCTGCCTTTTCATGAAAGATTTTAGTTGGATTAACTTGTGTCCTAATCAAAGGACAAATCTCTCACCTCCCACAGCATCATGTTTTACTCTTTTTTGCCTTTCTTCCTTTTTTCCTTTCCTGTCCTTTCTGAATGGGTCTGAGACCAGTTTTTCTGTGAATTTCGTAGGGGTGAGGAGTGTGGTTACAGAGCACATGTTTGTTGTAAATTTGGGCAAACTCACGTCCACCCTGGTGCAGGCTTGCAGTGGGCACAGGCTCTGACCTGGCTGTCCTTCCGTCCACAGCCTGGGGAGGCGGGGGCCTCCGTGTTTCCTTCCACGGTGGGCGCTCTGGCTGTGCTCTGGCCAGAGGCCGGCTGTCCTGGTTGGGCCCCGAGATTCAGGCTGGGCCTCTGGGCCCGTGAGTGGGTCCCTGTGAAATTTTTCTGGCTCTGACTTCCATCCTTGTTTCTCGCCCTTGAGAGTTTTCCACTCTTCCCTACAAGTTTGACTACATATTTGTAGAGTATTCCGTCTTATGCAGCATTTCAGTGCTTTTGTGGTGGAAATGGTGCTCTCATGTCTTCTCAGCCCGTTATACTGGAAGTCCTCTCTCCGTGTGATGTAGTTCATTGTTTGTGGAGAACAGTTTCCATGTAACTATTTTAAAGACAGTAGACAATTTTCTTTATTGTGAAATAAAGAAAAAAATTAAGTCACACTTTATATTCTGGCTAGATTTACAAAGGAATTTCATGACATTCATTATCTAAATTTAAATAAACTAAATTTTAACCATACTTCTGGAATTTTACAACGAGCAATACTGTTAAGTAACGTGTTAAATAGCATTAAACGGCTGTGTAGTGAAGATCACTCCTGTCTGTTTATGCTGACTGTGTAATCTCTGGATCGTTTAGGCTTTGTTTGCCCTGGCAGCCGGCCTCTCACTGCTGTGACACTGACCTCTTCTGGGTGATTCTCGCAATGCCATCCTGCTTGTGTGTATGAGCTGTTTTTTTTAATGTCACCGTGCACTGTGGAATTGTATCACATAAAGCAGAGTGCGGCATCACTGTTCAGAGTCTAATTAGCTGAGGGCTCGCTGTTCGCAGGTGCTGAGCAGGAAGGTCGTGGTCCAGTAGAGAGAAGAGGTGCATAAACCGATGGAGGCGACGTAAACACAAGTCACTAGAATAAGCTTAAAAATGCACATAGAATCGGAAAATATATATGTACGTGTGTGTGTGTGTGTGTAACTGAGCCACTTCACTGTATGCCTGAAACTAACGTTGTAAATCAACCACACTTCAACAAGAAATAAAACTGCAAAAAAATTCATATGCAAAGCAGATGGGGACATGTGCACAGGCTTTTAGAAGTTAACTGGTAGTTCTCCAGCAGAAGATGGGAAGGGGCTCTAGTCAGGTGCAGCCGGGCACCCAGCAGCGCTGCGACCCCTGCGGCTTCTCATGGAACCCACAGGAAAGGGCCAGGCAGGGCCAGGCTGTACGGCTGTGTGCGTGTCCAGACCTGGGGACCGCGTCCTGACGGCCCGCCGAAGGGCTTGAGGCAGGGCACTGGGAGGGACAGAAGCCCCTGTTCTGGGCATTTCTCTGGCCCTCCGGGAGTGGAAGGTAGGGCACAGCTGGACCTGGAAGCTGGGAGTGGGGGTGGTACCACTGGCTGCAGCGACAGGCCAGGCCCGATGGAGGGGAGGGAGAGGGAGACAGTGCCGGGGGCACTGGGGGCTGAGGGACCGGCTGGCAGGGGTCTGTTCCTAGATCTGTCTTCCCTGACTTTGTGGAGGATGGAGTCACATTCCAAGGAAGGAAGGCCGGACGAAAGAGCAGGTCCGGGGACGCAGGGGAGTGCCCGGTGGTTTGGGGAGATGCTGTCCCGGGCGCTCACGGCTGCAGGTGGCGTGTGGAGCCCCAGGAGCTGCTGGAAGCGGGACTGCAGTTTATCCACCAACTCCAGCTGGGCCCTGAGCGCGGCCTCATTCATTTCACTGGGACATTTACCCCCTCGCTCTTCAAGGCAGCTCCTTCAGACTTCCCTGTCCTTTCCAAACCTTGAATGATCCCGTCTCAGAGTCTCTTCCGTCCTTGCCCTGAGCAGCTCCAGCCTTGAGCGGACTGCTTTACAGCTCAGGGGGTTACACTAGCTTTTCCTAAGGCTCCTACAGCTTTAAAATGTTACGATTCTGCTGAAAACAGATGAGATGTGTGCATGAGTTACTGAATTAGAGCTGCATTGGGAACTTTGAAGATCTTGTTCCGATAATCTCAACTATCCTATAAAATCGGAAGACTTTTTTTCTCGAAGTCATCCTCCAGCAGGACTAAAAGCAGAAGTTAAATCATCGGTGAATGTGGCTGGAACTCAACAGCCCCCAACACTGGAAAGTTCATCGCTATAAAGCCAGTTTACGGGTTGATGAAAGGTCCCTCAGTAAGTGACCTTTAAGTGTGACAGTTCAAAGACTATTGAGTTAGAAGTTCCAAATTTTAACTTTCCAGACACACAATGATACAAAAATACATCTCATATCCTCACTGTTAAACATAGTAGATACTTTTGTTGAGAACTGGAATTTTATGTGTAACTGAATTGCCAAGACAGGAACGATAGTAACGTGGAGAATTCGTGAAAGATTTTTAAATGTCTTATAAATAAATGTATGAGCAGTTGAAGCCGTGTCAGCTTTTCCTTTAAGGCCTGCAGCTGTTGGTGTAAGAAGCATCAAATTTCAAAAGAAGTTAGAGCATGAATAAATAGAATAAGAGAGAAAGTCTCCCGAGAAGAAAATAAAGTCAAAATTAAGCGTATGGATGAGTATTACACTGCTTCCGGCCATCAAGGCTTAGGGCCCAAATATGAATTTCAAGTATATAATTTAGTCGGTTTTAATTCATGCTGCAAACCAGGTTCTGTAAAAATGATGCAAAATAAAAATTTAAGATTGTTGAAAAGTTTAATATGTATTCTGTTTCCTTCACACCTTATAAAAACTGAGTGATCTAATTGCTCTTCTTCAGGAGAGATGAGACAACATAAAATCACCTTGTTACATTCACATAGTTTGTTAAACAAAATATAAATTTAGTTCACTTGGAAAATAACTCAGCAATTTTTAACGTGGAGAGCTTACGTTCTCTTTATGATGGTTGTTATTTAAGATTTTCTCAAATGTTAAAGTTTTTTTTACTTAAAAAGAGACCTAAGGAAAGTGATTTTTTTAATTTGATTTTTTATTGAAGTGTAGCTGATTAGGAAAATGCTTTTTGAAGAGTGACTGTTACATGAGAATTTGCAGCTTACTTGGATGAGAACAGCACACATTTAATGCTAGTAAAGTCTCAAGTTCTGGGTGTGGTGTGTTAATCTGCGGTGGGTTTTTTTTGAGATCTTGTCAACATTGGATTCTGCTGGGAGCTCATCTCAGAAGTTTCTGCTGTTCATATAAGGCAAAGTTCACGATAAAAAGTTGCGATTACATAAGACTATCATGAGTCAGGGTTTAACTGCTGGTTTTGTAAGAATTTTTTCTTCTTGGCACACTTGAGCTTCGTCCTGGAATTGGTGCCCAAACAATTTTAAGTGTGGTATGAGCTGTTTGTGTCACCGAGTAAAATTAGCCGCGCCTGTTGCTAACAGGAGGGGGTGAAATTGGAGCCCAGGCCCGACCAGGGCTCCATCCTCCCAGGCCGGCTGGGGATCTGAGCCCAGTCCCTCCGCTCTCCCCCTCAGCGAGTCATGGGACGGCTTGAAACACTGTCCCCAGAGCCCGAGCGGGGGTAGCTGATTCACGGCACACTTTTTCCAACATCCAAGGTGAGTAATCGGTTTTCACTTGGATTTTACGTGATTACAATGTTCAACTTAAAAACCAAAGAGGTATAAAGCTTCTTGCCTTTTTTTCCCTTCATAAGTGACTAATAGAAAATAAGTTATGTTTAAAACGTTGAATAAGTTGACCTCAGAATGATTGTAATTGTCTCAACGAAACTGAGTCAGATTCTCATTTCAGCGTTCTTTCAAGTTACTCCGACCTGCTAACATGCTACATAGTTTCAGCATAATCGCATCCTTCCGGTGGTTTTAGTTTGTAGACTACTGTGAGAGCATTTCTGGATTATCAGGCATTCATTTGTTACTCTGTAGTTAATCTAGACAAAATGTAATCTTTACAACCATCTACTTCTAATTCTACTCTTAAGCTTTTGTGGTAGAATTACATTTGCTTTACAGTTTGTCCAAAGTTTCGTTACAGTTTAAAACCACAGAAAAATTCATGAGAACAGAATTCCAGGTAATTTGAGAAATCGAGAGTGAGCAAAATAAGAGGGAAATGCCAGCTTCAGCTCCCTACTCTCCTTGGATAAGGAGGGGAAGGATGTTTCTCCTCCAAAGTCTGGTGAAAGTAAGGTGTTGTTCAAAATACGTATCAGAAAGTGAAGGGAATGGAGTACAAGGTAAACATGCTGTGCTCCGTCCTGTTATAATGTCTGTTCCCTCTGGTGGATCTCAAGTCAACGCCGGGCATTTGGAAGACAAGTTCACGAGCAAAGGCATCAAGGCAGATAAAAGGGAAAATATAGCTCAGCTGGTGGAGGACTGGCCAGCAGGATGGAGTAACTCACGAGTACGATGTTTATTTTTGCTTTTTTTCTTGGAAACATTTTGTAGAGGCGGATACAAAAAGACACACAAGTTTCAAAACCGGTGGTTCAAGTTGGTGTTAGTCTTAGAGGTTCTGGAATCTATCTCAGGTTTCTTCCAAAGCCAAATGAAAAGCAGTATTTCAAGATATTTAAATATCAAATTTCAAAGACTAACAAATCTGTTTCCCCAAAATGCTGGCTAAGCTTGCTGTTAAAATGCTGAAAATAAAATTGTTCCACATTGTCCTTTAAAAATATATACTCTCTAGTCATTAAACTAGATTGCTGTTATATTGAATATGAAAATCAAATGTCAGTGGTAAATTTGGAATGGGTGCCCATTTTGTTTAATTTTGCACATTTTGCAGGACCTCAGGTCCCCCCAGCTCCCTGTTCTACTTGATTCATCACAGCCCCCAGCTGCTTCTCAGCCACGCCCAGCCCTGCGAACCCCCGGCTGTGGTTTCCTGCCAGGGGCGTGGGGGCCTGCAGGACTTGCCTTCTGCTTCTTTCCCTCCCACCTCCGTTTCCTCTCAGCCTCAGCAGCGTCCAGCTTTGTTCTTCTCAGGCCCTACCTCAGGGCCAGATCTCTCTCTGGTGTTCTCATGAGCTTTGCAGAATTCCTCCCCGACTCTCCTCACCATTGCAGACTCCAGCCTCATTTTTTATCTTATGTTATTATGTCTTAGGAAATTTTATGGGAAAGTAGATGCAGGGGAGAACAGTGATCCGTGGGTTTTTGCTCGAGTCTCACGACTTCTCTCGGAGTCCCCGGCAGCATCCCAGTCCCTTGACTTGGGTTCTGCTGGTGTGCCCTGCTGTGCACGCTGGTGAAGCAGGAGGTGGGGTTCCCAAGGGTCGCGTGTGCCCAGGGACCTGTGTTTCCTCCTAAGGCCGTAGGACAGATTTTGTCTTCGGGAAGGTCACTGGTTGCCATGGAGACAGGATAAGGGGGCATGGTGGGAGTAGGTAGAGAAGCGGTGAAAAGTTGAAAGATGTGCTCAGCTGAGGTCTGGAAATCAGACCCCAAGAGAGAACCAGCAGGAAGAAGCTGCTGCCGTGGAGACAGCACGTAAAACCTCTGTGACTGTGTTAAGCCTGTTCTAAGCATTCTTGGTGGGTTTTACACGTGAAACTTCTCTGAAGAAGCGCACTGTCTGGGACCCATGCTCGTCAGGAGGTCCCTTTGCTTTTGGTGTTCTCCCAACTCAGCGTGATTTCATTTAATACACTCGAGTTAATCTGTCCTGCTCAGGAGTCGTTATCTGTTTCCAATCCAGCACGTCTTCAATGATAGAAAACTCTTGCCATTCACCTCCTGGATTGTTGTCTTCCCTGTGTCTTCTCCAGTCAGTCCCACTGGCGCCTCAGTGAGCTGTACCCGGAAGGCGCCCTCCCCAGCCACGGCCTTTCGCCCACCCCCTCCTCCCCGTGGCTTCTCAGTCCATGTGGCTTCTAAGATCTGTCCTCCTGTTCACGTCGATCCTCCTTTCAGCTCTAATGACCTGTTAAATACAGGGAAACTGTCTTTATATGTCATAACTTTAAGCTATACAGCTCCTGCTCTGGAATTTAAAATGTTACTGAACTTCTCATTTCTAAGGGGTCTGTTCAGTTCTTTGTCAAACTCGCCCTTTCAAAATCATTTTATGTTTGTTCCTTTTGAACATCATCCATGTATTTATCGTCTCTGTGTCTCAAACTCCTGGCAACAGCCTCTCCAGACGAGGCATGTCGGGAAATGGTAGTTGAAATTAACAGTGTCACCTCACAACATTTCTTTAGTAGACAGAACTGTGTTCAGATGCTGTATTATGTACTAGGACAAGAACTGAAGAATCTAGAAGGCAGAATTTCTATCCTTGAGATGGTTTCATTTTAAATAATAAATAGAGAACCGTGAATTCAAAAGCATATAAAAACTGATATTTTTGCAAAACAAAATTTTATGCCTGGAGCCTTATCCATGAGAATGTTAATAACTATATTTAAGAGAAGCATTTAAAGCCAACCAAAATTAAGTATACCGTCAGCATCCTTTAAAGATGGCAACAGGGAAAGGGCTGTGATTATTTTAATGATAACAAACTGTTTTCTAAAGGAAAAAGAGGAGCCTATGAAAATAATTTTTGCTCAAGATGAAGTTAAACTCATGATTATTCATCTTGGAATATAGATTTTTAAGTTTTAATATAAAGTATTTTTTGTAAAGCTTTTAGTAAGTAGATTGCAAGGTGCTGTGTGCATTGTTTCAGTTCAGTTTCTCACCAGCATGAACACTGCTTTACAGCTGTCTGACCTCAAAGTGACAAAGAACTGGCATCCTTCCCAGAGCTGATTACAGCAAATACCTGAAAGGAGCCAGCTGAACCAGAGAGCCTCGGAAAGTCTCTTCTGGCGAAAATTGAAGACATAGTGTCAGATAAAAATGAAAGCCACCATGAGCTGTGAACAACATAAGCTCATAATTTATTAAATAAGTTGAGTGTTTGGCCTCATCATTTTCTTTTTCTTTTTAAAATGTTTTTAATTGAGGTATAGTTACATTACAATGCTGTGTTAATTTTGGGTGCACAGCATAGTGTTTCAGTTATACATATATCTCTGTGTGTATATATATATATATATTCCTTTTTCATGTTCTTTTTCATTATAGGTTTTTACAAGCTATTGGATGTAATTCCCTGTGCTAGCTGCCTAGTCATTTTAAACCATGCCTATCTACAACTATATTCAATATCTTGTAGTAGCCTGTAATGAAAAAGAATATAAAAATTAATATGTATAAGATTGAAGCATTATTGCTGTACACCAGAAATGGACACAGCATTGTAAACTGGGTCAATGTCAATTTAATAAATAAATAAATAAATAACAAACCATGCATATCTGGAGTAAAGTCCTTGTTTAATGCAACACATTTAACACTGAAAACTATCAGTGAAACCAGGAGAGCTGAAGTGGGTCATCATAGAATGTGACATAATAAGAAATACAACTGGAAAAAAAAGATTTGGGAACAGATAGAAATGGTTTGGGCAAATACAGCTCAGCCATGGAAGGGCCAGAAAGCAGGTCCCAGGCCCCAGGAGCCAGCCTGCGGCCAGTGTTCCGCTCAGGAGGCGGGTCCCGCTCTTACTCAGGCTGGACGGGTCGGGGGCGGCCCAGAGCGAACCGCGCGCCCCTGGCTCGCTTCCCGGGCCCTCAGAGGGCTGCGGTGGCGCCTGCCGCCGCCTGCTCAGAGCCGCCCCTGGTCCCCGGCCGAGCCCCCCTGCGCACGGGTCTCCACGTCCTGCTTAGACTGTCGGGGAAACTGAAGTAGCTCTCAGCTCGTTTCAGTGCCTGTTGTACGTTGAAATGTGAATGAGAGCACCCCGGTGTTTGCCCTCTCGGCGTTCGCACTCAATTTATTCAGCAAGGTTTTGAACAACTAATACCCAAAGAACGCACTGAAGTGTACGGGCTCGCCACCTAGGCAAACGAGGGCGGGGAAGTGAAGGCAGAGCCCACGCTCGGGTCCCCGCGGGCGTCCGCTCAGCGGGCGTTTCCTGAGCGCATGTCACGTGCCAGGCGGGTACTCTGCTGGGTGCCGGGGGTGCAGCGAAGTAACGGAACTGCTGCAAATTCTGCCCTCTTGGGACTTGTATGTGGAAGCGGTAAAATATATCGTATGTCACGTAGTGTCAAGCGCTGTTTTGAAAAGTGAAGCGGAGAGGGTGCAGAGAGAGACACGGCTAGGGGGAGTCGTGGCTGCAGGGCCCTGGGGTGGGCGGGGCTTGGTGTGGGCGTGGATGAGCAGGACCAGTGCGACCAGAGCTGCAGTGAGGGGCAGGTGACGGGATGGAGACAGGGTGGGCGGGGCCCGTCAGGGTAAGGATTGTGGTTTTCACTCTGGAGGAAATAGCCATCAGAGGATTTTATGGAGGGGGGACACGATCCGATTGGTGTTTTAAAAGGAGGCCTCCCCCCACCCCCGTGTTGGAAACTGGCCCTGGGAGATCGCGGGCTGTGGGAGGGAACAGCGGGTGGCTGTGCAGTCACCCTGGTGCAGGACGGTGGAGAGGAACACGGTCCTGGATTAAAGGTGGCGCTCTGATCTGCTGACATGGCGGTGGATCAGATCAGGTGTGGCAAAGGAAAGGGATCAAGAAAGACTCCAGGCTTTGGACTTGAGCACCTTGAAGGATAAAAGTTGCCTTTTATTGAGGTGGGGAGAGTTTTTTGAGGAGCAGGCTGGGGAGGTTAGGTTGTGAGTTTTGTTTGGACCATGAGTGAAGTTTGAGATTCCCATTTGGGTGAAGGAGTCTTGGGTGAACAGACACTGGGGAGGCCTCTGCTTAAAGATATTGCATATGAAGAGAAGAAGTGGGGGGGAGGGGCGGGGGGCAGAGGAGGCCAAGCAGAGGAGAATGAGGAGTCGCAGCCCTGGCAGTGAGAAGAGGCCTGGGGGAGTTCTGGAAACCAAATGGGCAGAGGTTTCAGGGAGGAGGCAGCAACTGGCTCTTGGGCACGTGCTGACTCGAGGTCGGTCGTGTGCGCACACGGCTGTGTAGCAGTGAGGTGACTGGTGAGCGGGCATGGGCGGGTTCAGCAGGGTGCTGGCTGTGAAGCCTGTTTGGGATTGAGTTCGGAAGAGAATGGAAGACCTGAAATTATGGCCCATAGGTGTCAACTCCCTCAGGAGTTTTGCTCCAGAGAGGATGGAGAGATGGCGCCGGGCTACAGGTGTCCAGGCCTGCTGTCCACCAGGGCAGACGATGACAGAAGCCCTGCCACTGTCCTCTGGGGCCTCAGGCTGTGGCTCGCCCCCTTTTAAAAAAGGCTGGTTTTTTTTTTTGTCTTCTGCTTTATCCTCATTAGTTTTCTTTCAGAACTTAAAATCCTGAAGACTTCATATTTATATATGACAACCCTCTTCCCAACCTGCTGTTTGTGAAAATGCTTTAGCATAGAAAGCATGTTCTGTTTTTCTCCTCTTGGCCGTTTGGGATGAGCTCATGGTCTACAGTCGTCGTTTAAGAGAGTTGGACCTGCACCGGGAGTACTGAATCTTCTCTTAGTGGATTGAGCGTGTTCGTAAACCACAGAACATTTCACGTGCTGTATCCCCAGGGACCTGCCCCGTTCACCCAGCCCCATTCTCTGGTGTCATTCCCGGCAGGCAGCTCAGGTCCACCAGGGCTTCCGTCCGTTGGTTCCTTCCCTCCTCCGTGCACCCCCTGCAGGCTTGTCTCCTGTACCTGCCATCTGCCGGTGGCACTATTTTGGGGGCACAGCAATCAACAAGAGTCCCATGGGGTTTACGTGCTAAAGAGAGGCCGCCAGCAGGCAGGGGATCGCTCAGACACGCAGAACGGGGGCCAGGGCTGCACGGGGGTTTGAGGGCCACGCTCGTAGCGGAACGGCCACCGGCCCTCCTGGAAACCACGGCAAACCTGGCGCCAGCGGTGCTGAAGCTTTCTCGATTTTACGTGGGAACAAGAGCTTCCCATGGTGGGGAGACGTCCACGCCCTGCGCCCCGGAGCCTCTCGGGGCGAGCGGGGCTGCGGCTGCGCGGTGCGACTGTCAGGCCCTGAGGTGCGGAGAGGGTCCCAGGTTACCCAGGGGCGCCCACGCCATCACGGGCGTCCCCATGTGTCACAGTCCGAGCAGAGACTGAGCGCAGGAGGAGGGGCTGGAGCCAGGGAGGGCGGGCGGCCTCGAGAAGCTGGAAAGCGGAAGGAGCAGAGACCCCGGGGCCCTGGGAGGAGCGCGGCCCTGCCCACACGCTCGTCTGTCGCTGCAGAAGACTCATAATCGACTGGTGACCCACACCTGGACGTGAACAAGACTGTGTTGGGTCGAGCCACTGAGGGTGTGGACATTTGTTCCACCAGCAGCAGGAAACTGGTAAATGCAGGGAGAGAACTACGCAGCAGCTGGAAACCGTGGGTGAGGGGAGGGGGACCACACGTTCTGGGAAAACTGCTCTTTTTATTGATCTGCAGCAGTACTGTAAAGTGCAGTGCTTGCTCTCAGTGCAGTTTTCTGGCCACGCTTCCGAATCCAGTTGCAGACTCTTAGCCCATCTTTCACAGAAAGTCTGGATTTGCCACCGTTGTTTAGATGCCAGGTGCTTGGAAATAAACACAAGAGAGTGAAGCGATGGGACCGGTGCGTGTCCAGGGAAGGCCTCTCTGAGGAGGGGACAGGTGGGCCGGTACTGACGGAGAGGTAGGAGCCCGCAGAGGGTGGCAGGGGAGAGGGTGCCGGAGTGGTCCTGACCTGAGGGCGAGCCTGGCTGTTCAGCGGGCGACGGGGCGCTGTGAGCCCGAGCCCAGCGGCAGCAGGCGAAGTCGGAGGTGAGCAGAGTCCTTCCCGCAGGGTCCGCGAGCCGACGGAGGAGTCTGGGTGCTCTCAGCGGGGAGAAGCCATGGGCGGGGGGGGGGTTGAAACAGCAGAGGGACAGGAGCTGACTACATCTTCCATGTTTGCTGCTGGGTGGAGAGGGGTTTCTGAGGGGACGGGGAACGCAGGCTTTGCAGGGCTGCAGACGAGAGTTGGTGGCGGCTGGTGCTAGAGTGGTAGCAGTGGAAATAGAGACAGATTTGGGGCGTAGGATGAAGACAGAGGAGGTCAGACCTGCTGGTGGGGGGCTTGAAGGGAAGCAGGAGAAGACTGACTTCTGAGACTTGGGAGCGTCTGCGTGAGTGGCGGTGAACTTTCTAACATAGAAGACTGGAGGGCTTCAAAGCCGCGTAGATAAAGGGTGCCCCTCTGAAATCCTTAACCACCGAGGTTTTGAACAATGCGGATCGGTCCTGAGCATTTGAAAAACACTGATGAACAGAACAATTGGAGACGGTTAGAGCATGGGAGAATGCCTACTGGTAAGTTGGAAAGAAACTTAAAGAATTCTTTCAGACCATGGCCTTTTAAATAAGGACACCTGCAGACCATTCCTAAAAATAAACGCATTAAAAAATCTCAGGGGAGAAGATTTTCTGTTCTGAGTCATCATTTTGCAACATTTACAAACAGAAAAGTCATCATAATTTCTAATCTTAATTTAAAAAATTGAAACCATGTCCTTTTTTCCTTTGTGTAAAGGGGAAAATAAACAGCTTTTAAAAATCTCTTCATGGAGTTGAAACTGTTCTTAAAGCTCTTACTCTAATTCACATAAAACAGTGTGTGTTTGTAGACGTCTGTACGCGCACACACTGATCTTGAAGCAGGTCAATACTCAGGCCTTCATATCAGGCGAGAGCTGATGTGGGAGGCGCCTTGTAAAGAGCCTTTTTAATTCTGAGTAATTTAGTAGCTGAAGGAAGATGGAATTTAGTCAACTGGCAGAAAATGGAGTGATCGGGCCTTTTTAAGAGGATTTACAGGTACCAGCTTAATTACTCCTCCTACTGGATCTTTTAAGGACTTGATGGCTTGACTGTTGTTAGTTGATGCTTCAATTCCAAGTTAAATCCTGCAGAATTGTGACAGCTGTGTGTATGTTGAATTGATTGATTAAAATCTGAAGATACGGTTACTGGGTTTCACATGGATTTGGCACATCTAAGTATTTCCCATGACAGGTTGTCACTATGGTTGAAATACAGTGACATGTTTCAAAGTAATAGTTACTGCCCTTTTGAAAAATCACTAATTTTGGAAATTTATTATTGGGGTAAAAATATTTTGTTGGACTAATGGCCAATCAATATTGACAAACAGATTTTCTCTCTTTCTGCCCGCATCCCCGCCCTCCCTCCCCCATCCCTGGGCAGATGGTGCGGGAACAGTACACCACCGCCACCAACGGCGCCCCGGTGGAGAGGCCAGAGAACCAGAATGTCTACAAGATCGGCATTTACGGCTGGAGGAAGCGCTGCCTCTACTTGTTCGTCCTCCTCTTGCTCGTCCTCCTCCTCGTGAACTTGGCTCTGGCGGTGTGGATTCTCCGAGTGATGTGGTTCTCCCCCGTAAGCATTTCTTCTCCCTGCCCGGCCTGCCCTCGTCTTGTCTGTGCTGTCACTCTGTCCACGTGGTGTCGTGGAAGCTTCCTTTCACGTAGTTAACGTCTGTTTCCTGTCTGGGTCAGAGTTTTCAGTAGCAAAAAAAATACGTGTAACATTTACTTTCCTTTTTAACCGTTTTTTATAATCTCACTGTGAACTAGAGTGCGTTGCTTTTTCGGCTTGTTTTCCTTGCAGTCTTCCATTAGTCATCATCTTTGCACGAGGCAAAGATGGTCATGATCTTGAGCTTGGGCTGATTGCATCATGATTGCTTTAAGATTATTTAACTCATTAATTGGTAACATTTTATGAATCATATTTTCCTAATCTCATTAATTATAAATATTTAACATTCAGATGCTGTTTTCTCATTTTTTAAAAAGCTCCATCCTGATATCCGATCGATTCACGTCCACACTTCAACAGTTGACAACAAACTTAGTGAATAAAAAATCTGCAGTCCTAAGGAATTCAGATTCTCTTCTCAAGACGGCTGAGTGATTGTAGATGCTCTTGTAATACTTAGTGTACTTCCTGAACAAACTTTTTTTAACGCAGAACATCTTAGTCTTGGAAGATAGTCGCAGTGAGAAAAGATGCTGCAGTGGACATTTTTTGGAGATTGAATCAAGGTTGAACTCCTCAGATTCTAAACTGTGGGGTCTGTCAAGGCGTGTCCTGCAGAAAGCCCCTCGGCCGTGCAGATGGCCGGGAGACCGCCCCTCGCCAGGGGGAAGACCCTGAGGGGCCCGGGGTGTGGGGGTGGGGGGCCAGGGAGGAGAGGCCGCCCGTCCCCTGAAGCAGGAGGCAGACCCGGAGAGCAGGTGTCAGGGAAGACAGATAACAATGGTGTTTCCAGGAGAAAGAGGTCCAGTGTTGAACTCTGCTGAGAACGCAGAGGGAAGGACATTTTAAAGTGTCCCAAGATTTAATAGTGTGCCGGTCACTGGCAATCTCCAGAGTGAAGTCTGTCCCTTCTGGAAACTTCATGATGGAAACGCCCTGCGAGCAGGCACCTGGGACACAGCTCCACATCCTCCGTGGTGCCCACACAAGTAGCGTTACGCTGTGGACTCGCGTGACGCGCTTGAAGCCTGACTTAAAAAGCTGTTTCAGGTGTTTGGGGGCCTGGTGATGGGACTGTTTTGTACCCAGATTGTGCAGGTGGCTACCCAGACCTACGCATGTGTTAAAACTCGTAGCACTGTGAGCCTCAGGAGTCCACGTCATTGCCTCTTAATTTAAAAAAATTAGATAGAAACGGTAAGATTCTTTTCCCTACATGCTGGTCGGGCTCTTGGCGTTTATTATAAAGTGATTGTTCAGCTCTTACACGCATTTCCTAAACAGTCCTTTGCATTCATGCAAGATGACAAAATACTGAATACTGAAAAACAACAACTACAATTTTAATGAAGAGAAATAGAGGAAAACGCAATAGGAGAGCCATGAAAATGCACACGTAACGTAAGTTGATGCTGAAAACAATGAAGGAGAGAGCAGTGACAAACTCCCTGCTCTCCTGTCCCTTTTGCAGGCAGGGATGGGGCACTTGCTCGTCACAAGCGATGGACTTCGCCTGGAAGGGGAGTCAGAGTTTTTATTCCCACTGTACGCCAAAGAGATCCGCTCCAGAGTGGTAAGAAAATGATGGCTCATTTACGTAATTTGTGTTTTATGAAAAATAAATCATGGTTAAGCACAGTAATTGAACGTATTTCAGAGGAGGGTCCTTAGACTGTACACAAGGGCGCACATTCCTGGCGCAGCCCTTACCACAAGCCTGTCTGCGAGGCTGCGCGGCTTGTTTCTGGTGTCACGTTCTGAAAAGACTCCACTTCCGCGTGCGTCGGATGCGAATTTGGCAGCCTGAGTAATTTAGACCATAATAAAGTAAAGATTTAGTTATTAAAACCTGCATCAAAAGCAATCTACACTTCTTTCCAAGTAATTAAAATACATTTATTTCAAGAAATTTTAAATGAGAAGGTGAGAAAGAAATTGGTCTCCTAGTGGAATGTCCTGTACTAATTATACAAATTAGAGATGATAGTCCTGTAGGATTTTCCATAAACAGGTTAAACATCACCATTAAATAATCGTGTGACTTTAAAAGTAAATCTGCTTTAATATTATCTTCATTTACCTCCATGGAATTTTTAACAAGGAGAATCAAGCATAAACTAGAGTCAAATGATTTTTGTTACATGTTCTGTTTTTCCTTATGTGATGCTGTAGGCTTTGTTGTAGAAATAGACACTTTGCTAGATTATTGATAAGGTGCTTTTATCTCAAAAAAAGATTAAAACTCCATCCAACTGTAACTCTCCGGTTGGTGAAAAGCACAGCCTTGTTCTCCTCCCACTTTCCTGGGCAGTATCTCCTACATCAGAGGCTGCATCAGCTATTCCAGGGCAGTTAGACAGCAACCAAAAGCAAGGACTGAGACGCTTGGTCTCGTGGGAGAGAGAGCTCGCCTGCAGCCAGACCGGGACAGCCCCAGGCTCTACCTCCGACTGCGGTGTCGGGCCTGAAACGTCACATCCGTGCCGGCTGCAACGCAGAAATCCCGGAGCACAGAGCACTCCGTGGTCAGCACCCCGGGTTTGTTCCCTCTGGTGGCGCCTGCGAGGCAGCCGGGGCAGGCAGACGGCCTGGGGTGTCACTGTGGACGCACAGTGAGGTTGACGCCGCGATCCTGCTCAGACAGCACACCCAGCGCGGCGCCATCTCAGCGCACTGAATAGCCCGGCCTGCAGAACTTGGGGGATTCACACAGGCTTTTGCAAAAAGGGACGGCAGATGGGGACAAAGACTTCAAATACTAGAACTCAGCCTTCTTCCCCAGAGATACGTTGGCTGAGCTCCTGTCACGTTTTTGGCGAGTAAGCGTGGGAGAGCAGCCTGCGACTGGGTGGTCAGAGCACAGCAAATGAAATGTTCTAGAACTAGTGACCCTTCTGCATCATCTTAGCGGACTTTTCTATCTCCAGTAGACTTTAAAAAAGAGGAGCAAAGTTATGTACATTATTTTAGACAGTCACATATTAAGGTCTCAGTGTGATCAGTGCATGAAATTACAGAAACGTTTGGAATAACATTATGTGATAACAGCTGTATTTTGTAACTAACATGGCATTCTAATGATAGGATTAACTGAGCAAAATTATGCCCTACAATTTCTGTACACACTGACGTATTGGTTACATCGCCTTTTCAAAGATGAGTCTGGGAAGTAATGTCCCATAGAGTTACAGCAATTACCTTATGAATTTACAAAATTTGCCACATAATTCATTTATCAATATTGCTAGGCTGAGAGAAGTTCTTCATTATGAATATAATTCAACACGGTACTCCGGCCTCTAACGTGCGATTACTCGGTAACCCTTCAGCACTAGTCCGTGAGGTCCTGTCAAGATTGTGCTTCATGATGTAAACCCACCCACCCTGCCCGTTATCCAAAACACATAGGAATTACATCTGGTGAGACAAAAAGATTGTATTTAAAAACATGTAGATGTGGTCAAAACGAGACGAAGCAGAAACACACAGAGCGGTGAAGGTGCTCTTGAAGGGAAGCCGCTCGGATGCTCACAGCCCCGAGAAGGAGGAGCAGCTCAGAGTCCAAGCCCACGGAGGCCGGAGGCCGCAGGGCGTCTGCGCAGCCAGAGCCCCGCCAGGCCCCGTGAGGCAGCAAGGCCAGGCGGGGAGCTGGCCACGTGCCCTGGGGCGGGGACCCTGATACCCCTGAGGACAGAAGCCTGAGCCACTGTCACAGGACGAGAGACCCTGCGGCCTGAAGGGCACAGTGGTGAAGCCTTGCGACGGCTGGGCAAGCGCAGAAATTCAGTCACATCCACCTGGGGAGCTTGACACCGAAACGTCAAACTGCGTACAGAAAACGTCATCTCAGAAAAGGTCCCAAGTCGGCTCTAAACAAAAGAGAACTGACCTCCAACCGAGTGAAGACAGTCAGCCTGGAAATGAATGGAAAGAGCACCGTCCTTGAGACTTCAGAACAAATTAAACCAGAAGGAAGAGAAGAAATGAAAGACTGAAAAGCAGAAATCAGCCAAATAGAAAACAAAAACAAGGGAGAAGATCAGTGAAACCAAAAGCCGATTTGTGTGGAAGATCATTAAAAGTTGATCAATCTCTAATCAGCCTAATTACTAAAAAGAGAGGCCGGTGTCTGCCGTCCGCCCACCCACCCCGCCGTGCTCACCAGACGTCTGCCAGGGCAGCGCCGATGGGCGCACCCCCTCCACCAGGAAAGCACAACCTTGCCTAGAAACCCCAGCCCCACCCCAGCAGCAACGGCCAGAACTGTGTCACTTGGGCCCCCCTCCCCGCACGACAGGCTGAGAAGGCCATCGCCCTTTCACCCCCCGGGGAAGGCAGAACGAGGAAGGGCTTGAGGGAGCCCGACGGCCAGAGCGGCCCCCGGACAGCGTGCTCCGTCCAGACGCGGGAGCGGGCCTCACAGCTCCGGCCTGGGCGCTGCCCTCCGTGCAGGGAGACTGGTGGCACAGAGCCTGGGGGTGGGCACCTGAAGACCGGGTTCCGTCCTGGAGCGCCACCTGCCAACTGCGGCTTTGCGCGAGCTGTGATTTACTGCCTGGGGACCCGTTTCCTCGTCCGTGCGCGAGGAGTAACGCTGCCTCCCTCGGAACGCGGAGGGCGGAACGAGAGGCTGGTGCCCGAGCCGCTGGTGACGCGCCAGCTCCCATCACACCAGGAGTTTTATGGCGGCGCCAGCACGAGGAGCAGGGTCACACCGCCGGGTGAAAGGTCAGAGGCTGATAGATCCACCCGCTTCCGCGGAGCAGGCTGGAGGATTTCGGACCTGCTGAGTTCCAGAGCGCCCCCAAACGCCTTCCCTTCTGAGAATCACGTCGTGCCCCCGCAGCTCTGCAAGGTGTTTGGTTCCCTCTGAGTGATCAGCCCACCTGAATCCAACAGCCGAGGCACTGCGTTCCTTCTGAAGAAAACTGGTTTTTTATGTAAGAGCCAGCCGTCTTCTGTAAAACGAAGCCCCGTTCAGACTGCGGCCCCTCAGAAAACACTCACGTGCTCCTAACGCCACTTTACCTTCCGACGAAAAGCTCTAAAAACAGAGGCACCTAAGAAATTTTAAAAGCTCTTTTGAAATGATGAGAAGCCTTTGCGCTTTGAACATAAGTAACAAGGTATTTATTATAGAAGAGCTAACCATTCTCTGATTTATCTTTTAAAAATAGATCATGTCCTGGACGTAAAATGACAAGAAATGAAATTTTAATTCCTTGGAAAAGAAAAAATACTGATTAAAACTCGATTGTTTTCGACCTGAGAGCAGACCTGGCCCATTGTGGCCAGTGCACACAGCACTATAAACTTATGAGATTGTTATATTTTGTGAAAAAAAGTTAATGCATTGACCCCCTTAACATAATATAATTCAAGTTTTAAAAATAATCTTAGCCAAAAATGTATAGGATCACAGTATCCATGACAATGGAGAGGTAGTTTTGTACAAATCCTAAATTTATACACAAATACAAAGATAAGGTCATTTTAAAAGTACGTACTTGGGTAACGTTGTGAACCAACCCCTGTTTAGGACTCATCTCTGCTCCTGCAGTCCACCCAGAACGTGACCGTGAGCGCGCGCGACGCGGACGGAGAGGTCACAGGCAGGTTAAAAGTGGGTGAGTCCAGCTTGTCACAGAGCTCTGCACGTGTGCGGTCCGTGAACAGTTGTGCCAAATGGATAAATTTATTTTTTTCTTCTGGAGAATTCAAAGTTAGTTATGAGCAATCAAAGTATGAATCTTCTAAATACCACGCTGTGCTGACCACAGAGAATAGTGTGGCAGGCGGGCGGGGAGGGGGGCAGTCTGAATTATTTTAACTGAAGCCACTTTGATTCCAAGAAGCAGAGGACCACTTAAGGTCGCACAAGGAACACAGCGGTTATTGCAGGACACAGAGCACCTCACAGAGACCAGGAAAGGAGCTGCCCTCAAGAAGACAGAGCCAGGGGCTGAGAGCCAAAGCTTTCATCCTTTCTCTCTGTCTCTCCCCCCACCGTGTTCGCCTCCTTCTCAGAGTATCTGTGCCCAGATTTCCACGTATCGTGGTTACATCGGTTCTAACTCTATAGGACTCCCTGGTTCCTTAAGAGAAAGAAGATAAAACATAGAGGAAAAAACAAGTTTTACTTTGTACCAGACATGCACACATTTAAATGAAGAGTCATTGGAGGGTTTTGAGGTACAAATTAGTGAAATAACATAAGAATATGTTGGTGACCATATCCAAAACTGGCCAGTGTACTCACTGAAAAGCCTCTTTAATTTCTAGCAGGGACCAGCACCTTGAATGAGTCTTGTGAGGGTCTCAGGGGCTCAGACACAAACTCTGTTAAGTATCCATTTACTCTGAACTTACTTTTCTAGGAAAGAATATGGTGCTAACCAGAGAATTGAGAAACACATGCAGCTCCTTAAGCGCGTGCTGAGAGCTGTGTTCTAGACAGACTAATCCATTATGTTGCCGGGATTGAAAGCCTGGAGGCATGAGGAGAAATTAGGAAACACAAGTTGATGGATACGCAGATGTGCCCGTGAGAAACTGAATGAGATCTCACACACTGAAGGAACAGTGTCCCCAGCCCCGGCCCAGAGTGGCACCCATTAAACACCTGCTGAATACAGCCAGGGTTTGGAAGGCAGTGGGTCTAAAGTTCCTGTGAAGAAGGGAGTAAGCTTGGAGGAGATGCCCCTTCACTGAAATAGAAAGTCGGGGTGGAGTCCACAGATGCGCGTCCCTCAGATGGAGGGAAGGGCAGAGAGCTGCGATGCCTGCTTTCTCCCGGTCAGGAGGTGAGGTGCAGGGCAGAGGCGAGAACCTGAGTCATCCACGAGACGGTCTTTCTCAAGGCTCACATTTCACAATACAGAATCCTTAGCTGGTTAATGTCAAAAGAATACCAGTTTAATTCATCTGAGTGGAAGAACTGTATTATTTTTGGCAAGTTTTTAAAACCTGAAAAAATTAATTTTTAAGTAATTTATTCATACAAATATTGAATATAGATTAACATATGTGAGACTTACATTAATTTTAAAAATGTAATAGATTTAGGCTTAGGACTTAAGATTTAATCATAGAATCAAAAAAACAGTAACAAATCCCGAATGTTTAGTGATTTAGTTCTGCTGGGCAAGATGGTGTGTGTGAAAACAGAGCCTTCAACAGTGCTGAGAGTGAGCACTCGATAACAAACTGTCTTATTTAATTCTTCAGGTCCCAGAATGGTCGAGGTCCAGAGTCCACAGTTTCAGATCAACTCCAAGGACGGCAGGCCACTGTTTACTGTTGATGAAAAGGACGTTGCGGTCGGTACAGATAAGCTTCGAGTAACTGGTAAGTCGTAGCTCTTTCTTTTTCATGGAGGAATAACTGACATACAACGTTCGTGCCAGGTGTACAGCTTAATGACTCGGTATTTGTATATATTCTGAAACAATCCCCACAGGAAGTCTAGCTAACGTCCATCACCACACATACTTACCATTCTTTTCTTGTGATGAGAACTTTCAAGACTTCTGTCTTAGCAGCTCTCAAATACACAACACAGTATTGCTGACTACAGTCACCAGGCTGTACGTGACGTCCCTGGGGCGGCTTTATTTTGTAACTGGAAGTCTGTACCTTTTGCCCACTTTCACCCATGTGCCCACCTCCCAACACCCATGTCTCGCAACCACCAGTCTGCTCTCTGAGTTTGGTTTTTGTTTTGTTTTGTTTTGTTTCTGAGCTTCCACATGTAAGTGGTATCACAGAATTTGTCTTTCTCTGTCTGGCTTATTTCACTGAGCACAGTTCCTTCACGGTCCATGCACGTTGTTGCAAAGAGTTGTTGCAAACTCTTTATGGCTGAGTCGTATTCCACTGTGTGCATACCACAGCTTCTTTATCCAGTCATCTGCAGCAACTCTTAAGAAAAACAGTCACCCATGGAGGGGCTCGTGGAAGGCCCTTCTGCAAGAGCAAGTTGCACTTTCGGCAAGTTTGCTCCAGGTCCGTCAGGCAAATAAGGAAAAGTAGTTTGGATGTGTGGACTTTTTCTTCGTGGCATTTCTTTTGAAATTCTTTGATACTCTCTTAGAAGAATGAACGCCTCCTCAAAAATTTTACCCACTTTTTTCTTCCACCACATTGTTTGCTTTTATGTCTTTCCGAGTGGCGTAACCCAAAGGCTTGTCATAAATTCCCCCATCATCTGTAAGGTATTCACGGGTCTGTTTTCCACGTGGCTTTTGCAGAAAAGCCTTCTTCCAAGTTTTTTTTAACTCCCATTGTGTTAGGTACTTGGATTCCCTATATTTTTACCAAAAAAATTTTCCCTTTTTGTAATAAAGGTTGGATGAGGTTCTGATAGAATTCATGTTTAGGGCTGGAAAGAAGAAATTTTATTTTTAAATATATTCAGAACTTGTTCTAAACTTATTTGCCGACCTCCTGTAAAGACTAGAAGATGTAAAAAGGCAGACCCTAGTTAAATGCATTCCAGGACTTTTGGGTCCTGTGGGAAAACCAGAAGACACTTTATTCTCTCACGTTACTGCCAATACTCATAAGTGAAAACAAAATAATGTTCCTGACCTAACAAGTGGACGCAACCCCAATGCAGAATTTTGTGTAATACGTAATTGCTAACAAAACAAGCTGTGGAAATCATCTATGTGGCAGCACACTCTCAGACAACAGGTGCCCAGGTTTTCTTACTAAAATAAAGGGCACTACGAAATCTAATTAAAGGAAACTGCTCATTGCCTAATAAAGAAATGGCCGGGTTACCCAAGGGCCTTGGGCATCACACATCCACTGTTACGTTGTACGGAAAAGGTGAGCTTAGTAGATTGAGATTTTATTCCGACCTCAACAATGACTAGCTGCATGACCTCAGGCAAATTATTCAACCTCTGTTGGCTGTTCTCTCACCTTTAAAAGTGAATTGATGATGGCAGCTGTGTTAGTGTTGCTGGAGGAAGTGGACTGACGCGGGCCGAGGACAGCAGGGGTCTCGGGAGAGCACTGTTGCACTGCGGGCAATCAGGTCTGCAGGGAAAACACCAAGAAACAGGATTTGCTGCTCCATTACCATTTGAGGCATTTACGCCTGGACTTCGGCCTGGTCAGACCCCCGGGCGTGAAATCCAGCCAAGCCCACCAGGTAGGACTTCTGACCAGCAGAGCTGTGAGCTAACCAGTGGGTATTGTTTTAAGCAGCTGCATTTGTCATAATTTGTAACAGACGTAGAAAACTCCGGCAGCCGTCACACAGGTTCAGCTGTTCAGGGAAAACTGCACCAGAAACCAAAACTTGATTTCTCCTTTGTTTCATGTGATTCCAGAGTTGTTGCAGCGATGGATAAGTTTTGTTAAATATGAAACACAGTAAGAATATCTCTATAAACGTTAATTTTTTCAAATAAATGCCCACTAAAGCTTTCCTCCGCCACTTACTGTAAAAAGTTGGTCTGTTTTAAATGGATTGGCTCCAGGTGGCCGTTGGAGTTTCTCGGATCAGCAAAAGCAGCAGCAGGTGGCAGCCGAGGAGGGCGCAGCGCGACCCACCAGCCCCTCTGGGGCCCCTCTGGGCGGCGGGGACAGAGAGCCGGGCTCAGCTTCCCCTCCCGCCCTGGTCGGTCACGTGCGCCGGGCTTGGGGCGTGCGGGGAGCGGCGGAGGGGCCCTGCCTCCAGGGAGCTGCCCCCCGGATCCTGACTTGCACCGACTGCTCCTCTTGACTCTGATCAAGTCGTGTTTTCTTGCCGCTGCCTTTGTCTTCAGTTCCCAAAAAGTAAGATGAAACCTCTCGTTCATTCTTAAACCGCTTCCATGCACCCTTCGGTCAGCTAGGAAACTGAAGAACCATTTTTAAGTCAGATTTAAGGAGATGAAAAAATCCCACCAGTTTGAAAGTGACCTCGGCCTTTAAGTAGTCTCATTATTTCCCCCTAAAAATAGAATTGTTACCAAGTGACCAGAGTCAGCATGTCTCTCTCACTAACCCCTGTTCTGGAACGTCTTCTTGAAATAGCATCAAAACGCCCTCTTCACGACAAGGCACGCCATGCCCTTGGCCGGCTGCCCCAGGTGTTCCCCGGCCACGAGCTGCCGGGCGGGCCGCTCGCCCGCGTCTGGGAGGGAAG